ACAAATCTCTGATGATCAAGTAAAACCTGACCATCAGTTTCCTTCATCTGGTCAAGCTTCCTCTTCATGTTTGTAGCATAGTCATGTGCGAGCCGGTGCAACTGTTTATTCTCATGCTTGAGCCCTCTAATCTCCTGTTTGAGACTCATCACTTCAGCCGCCAATGATTCAACTTGGCGGGTTCGAGCAAATAGGCGTTGGGCCATATTAGACACAGAACCTGCACACTGAACACTGAGAGCCAGCGAATCCTTAACAGCTAACTCATCAGACCGTTTGGAAAGTAGTCTGTTATCTTTGGGAGTGAGAAGGTTCCTGGCCACCACCGCAGCGGTCATATATCATTCTTCATCACGGAATCCCCAACGGTAAGAGGACCAGTAGGGGAGACGAAGGATGGGCGCCATATGTTGTCTGGAGAAGGCGGGGCTGCCTCTTCAACAAGGTTCAAGTCAAAACGACGGTCGGAGGGGCCAGACATTTTCAAAGGTGTTGAAGAGAGAAGAGGTCGGACAAATCAAGATCTTAGAAGTGCAAGAATGAAGCTTCTACTGGTGGAGATTCAAGTGTGCTTTGGAACTTAATGCCAGCCCTTATAAAAATCTGCACTCGACGGAGCTTCAGAAATCGAAGAGGCGCCTGCTCAGAAATCGAAGAGGCGTTTACTTTCTCAAAAGCTGGGCTGCTTAGAGATCACGAGGGTTGATCTCAGAAATCTAAGAGGCGTTTGCTTTCTCAAAAGTTGGGCTGCTCAAAGACCACGAAGGCTGGTCTCAGAAATTGAAGAGGCGCTCGCTTTCTCAAAAGCTGGGCTCCCTAGAGACCACGAGGGCCGATCTCAGAAATCGAAGAGGCACCTACTTTTCCAGCCTTGTCAGCACCTGTCACACGCACACTCAGCTTTGTGGAAATTATGGGCATTATGTCGAAGACTTCTGGGGAAGTAGAAAACACATGAATCTTACTGTTCAATCACCCACTTCCCACACGCAACAATAGCTCATGGGTACCACAGAAAACTTTGCCAAAGTTCTCTGCCAAAGTTGAGCACGTGAAGCTTGCAGCTCCCACTACATCGCTCTGACCAAGAAGGGTAAAAGAATAGCAAAGAAAGAAACAGCACTAACAAAGTTTAGACCCATAAATTTTGAAGGTCTAGCTACCATATTATTACCCACAAGGGTAAAGGAACAGTACCACTGCTGGATAATTGGACAGTCCCTGTGTGTCAACCTCTGTGCTTCGTGGCAAGGTAGACTAGCAAACATGCCCAACCTTTACTCACATTCGAGAAAAAACACTCCCAATAAGATTGCTTGCTCCAAAATCGAAGAGGCACCGTCCTCCGAATCTCGAGAGCCAGACTCCCAACATGACTACTTTCTTAAAAAATCGAAGATAGGGTAAAGGAACAGTACCATTGCTGGATAATTGGAAAGTCCCTGTGTGTCAACCTCTGTGCTTCGTGGCAAGGTAGACTAGCAAACATGCCCAACCTTTACTCACATTCGAGAAAACACTCCCAACAAGATTGCTTGCTCCAAAATCGAAGAGGCACCGCCCTCCGAATCTCGAGAGCCAGACTCCCAACATGATTACTTTCTCAAAAATCGAAGAGACACTGCTCCCCGAATTTTCGAGAGCCAGACCCCCAGCGTGACTGCTTTCTCAAAAATCGATGAGGCATCGTTCTTCGAATCAATCGAAGAGGCGCTCGCTTTCTCAAAAGCTGGGCTGCTCAGAGACCACGAGGGCCGATCTCAGAAATCGAAGAGGCACCTACTTTTCTAGCCTTGTCATCACCTGTCACACGCACACTCAGCTTTGCAGAAATTATGGGCATTCTGTCGAAGACTTCTGGTGAAGTAGAAAGCACATGAATCTTACTGTTCAATCACCCACTTCCCACACGCAACAATAGCTCATGGGTACCACAGATAACTTTGCCAAAGTTCTCTGCCAAAGTTGAGCACGTGAAGCTTGCAGCTCCCACTACATCGCTCTGACCAAGAAAGGTAAAAGAATAGCAAAGAAACAACACTAACAAAGTTTAGACACATAAATTTTGAAGGTCTAGCTACCATATTATTACCCACAAGGGTAAAGGAACAGTACCACTGCTGGATAATTGGAAACTCCCTGTGTGTCAACCTCTGTGCTTCGTGGCAAGGTAGAGTAGCAAACATGCCCAACCTTTACTCACATTCGAGAAAACACTCCCAACAAGATTGCTTGCTCCAAAATCGAAGAGGCACCGTCCTCCGAATCTCGAGAGCCAGACTCCCAACATGACTACTTTCTCAAAATCGAAGAGAGAGGGTAAAGGAACAGTACCATTGCTGGATAATTGGAAAGTCCCTGTGTATCAACCTTTGTGCTTCGTGGCAAGGTAGACTAGCAAACATGCCCAACCTTTACTCACATTCGAGACAACACTCCCAACAAGATTGCTTGCTCCAAAATCGAAGAGGCACCGCCCTCCGAATCTCGAGAGCCAGACTCCCAACATGATTACTTCCTCAAAAATCGAAGAGACACTGCTCTCCGAATCTCGAGAGCCAGACCCCCAGCATGATTGCTTTCTCAAAAATCGAAGAGGCATCGTTCTCCGAATCTCAAGAGCCAGATACCACAGACCACTTTTTCAAAGTGCTCTGACAGAGTTAAAACATGTGAAACTGACAGCTCCCACTACCGTGCTATGACCAAGCAGGGTAAAGGAATAGCATTACTACTTGTTAGGGAGACTCCTATATATGTCAACCTCCATCCCCAACGGACAGGCAGACCTGCAAAAATGCTCAACCCTTCATCATATCTGAGAGGGCACTCCCAACGAAGCCTTTCGAAATATTCAGCTTTCTTTCCCCCCGATAATACCTCTGCAAACAAGCTATACTAGAGCAAGAATATCTCATATCATCAGGGTTAAAAGCAAGAGTATCCCATATCATGCTTTTTCCCTGTCTTTTCCTTTGGCCTTGTTTTTACCTGCAAGACAAGGAGAAAGAGAGCAATCAGTCAGCACTTGGAATCAAGCTTCCAGCCAAGAACTGAATGCCTGGAACCCCTTACCTGATTACTTACCTGGCATTGCTCTCGAGTACTCATCTTCAACATTTTATGTTTCCAGGGAAGATTCCACATCTGCTTGAGGAACAGATAGGGCAAGTGCGAAGGATACAAGGAAGCATGTGGAGACAAGCGTAACAGCACATGTGCCGATACATCCATTACTCTGTCAAAAGCAAAAGTATCCCATATCAGCAGGGTGGAACGTACTCTAGATTTGATGGACTTGTTTTGACCCTCAAATTCTTCAGTCGGCCTTATACTCTGGAGGAAACCAGAAAACCCTCCAGCTCAGTTCAAGAATAAGCCTGTGGAAAGTTACTTCTTCAAAAGCAAAAGTATCTCATATCATCTCTTCTCATTTTTCTTCTCTTTATCCTTCATGCTGCTTCAAGATGGGGAGAAGGTGAACAATCAGTCGGAGCTCTGATTGCTTACCTTGTCTGTCACCTCTTTCAGCAGACCCCCTAGCTCGGCGACTTGGGGGACTCCTACTACATGGTTTGTATCGCGCTTGACCAAGCCTGAAACTACAAGTAAGCTTCAAGTGAAATTGATACATTACCTTGTGCATCTCCACCAGTTAAAGATACCACCCCTAGATGGAGGAAGAGTACTTCCAGAGAAGATGCCACATCTACCTATGAGACAGATAAGGCAAGTCAAGACGACTCCACACTCCGATACTTAGAAGTTTCGTGATTACGAGATCATTCTCCCCACAATATTTCTTAATGTCATTTGTACTAAATCATTCACTTGTACTCACTAAAGGAGAGCTTGAACCTATGTACTTGTGTAAACCCTTCACAATTAATGAGAACTCTTCTATTCCGTGGACGTAGCCAATATGGGTGAACCACGTACATCTTGTGTTTGCTTTCCTATCTCTATCCATTTATATACTTATCCACACTAATGACCGGAGCAATCTAGCGAAGATCACAAAAAGCGACCGTTTTCGCTACCTAGGATCTATCTTGCAAGAGAACGGAGAATTAGATGGAGATCTCAACCATAGAATACGAGCTGGATGGATGAAGTGTTAGAATGCATCCGGCGTGTTGTGTGACCGTCGTAGGCCACTAAAGCTCAAGGGAAAATTTTATAGGACGGCAATAAGGCCAGCGATGTTGTATGGCACAGAATGTTGGGCAGTGAAGCATCAACACGTACACAAAATGGGTGTAGCGGAGATGAGGATGCTTCGTGGGATGTGTGGGCACACGAGAAAGGATAAGATTGGGAATGAGGATATCCGAGGTAAAGTAGGAGTAGCCGAAATTGTAGGAAAGATGAGAGAAAATCGGCTCCGGTGATTTGGACATGTGCAAAGAAGGCCGAATGACGCTCCGGTTCGAAGATGTGACTACGGGACAGAGGTTCAGGGCCGAAGGGGTAGAGGAAGACCTAGGAAAACTTTGGAAGAGACTCTAAGAAAAGACTTAGAGTACTTGGATCTAACGGAGGACATGACACAAAACCGAGCGCAATGGCGTTCTAGGATTCATATAGCCGACCCCACTTAGTGGGAAAAGGCTTTGTTGTTGTTGTTGTTGTAGTTGTCTCTCTCTCTAGAAATTTGTAATTTTGGTTGCTTTTGTGAAATGGGTATTGGATGAAAACTATGAAATGCAAATTATTTAATCACATTCTTAAAGTTTCAGGTATGTGAAGAAGGATTGGTCTTCTTATGTAATTTTGGCAAACACTAAGTTTCTTCTAGTGAAGAAGGATTGGTCTTCTGAAATTCAGGTATGTGATTGATCACAAGGAGTGTTCTTTATACATATTTCTAGCATTGCCTTTGTGTCTGCATTTTTGCTATATGCATCTCTAGCATTGCCATAGTGTTCATATAATATTTGTTTAGTTTCATCAATTGATATAGTTTTTTTTATTAATTGATATGTGTAGAAATTAGAAGTATGGAACGATATTACAAGCGAAAATCATCATCGATTAGTTCGGACAATCATATTCCAAATAGTTTATCTCCAAACTTGGATAGTTCCAATCATATTCCGAACAGTTCCCCTCCAATTCCAAGTAGTTCTAATCGAATTGGTGGTAATTCCACTCCACAACAAAATGAGTTAAAAGTTGATTTGGATAATCTTGAGAGAGACCCCGGAAAGAGAATTCCAATGAAGGATTATCCTCCAGATATTCGAGATGAGGTCCGAAGAACATATATATTAATGGAGCCTTTTAGAGCTAAAGATCATGATTTTCCATTCACTTTGCATTCGAATAAAAAGCGACGGTTCGTTGATAATTGGTTGAAGGAATTTCATTGGTTGGAATATAGTATATCTAAAGATGCTGCATTTTGCTTTTATTGCTATCTATTCAAAGTCAACTTTGAACAATCAGGTAGTGACGTCTTTACTGAGGTAGGCTTTCAAAATTGGAAGCATGCAAGAGCCTGTTTTGAAAAACATGTGGGAATGGTTGGTAGCTTTCACAATAAAGCTGTTGAAGCTGCTGGTAATCTAATGAATCAAAAGACACATATTGAAACAGTTTTGGTCAAACAGTCAGAAGAAGCTCGTATGGCTTATCGCACTTGCTTGAATGCGTCAATTGATTGCACTAAGTTTTTGTTGCGACAAGGTCTTTCATTTCGTGGTCATGATGAAAGTGACACTTCAAACAATAGAGGTAATTATTTCGAGCTCTTGCAATTCCTTGCGGATCATGATGAGAAAATAAAGGCCGTTGTGTTAGATAAAGCTCCAGGAAATCTCAAGCTAATAGCTCATTCAATTCAAAAAGATCTTGTTCATTCATGTTCTATTGAAACCATTAAAACTATCATAAGTGATATGAAGAATGCTAGGTTCTTTTCTCTATTGGTTGATGAGGCACGTGATGTTTCTATAAAGGAGCAAATGGCGGTGGTTTTGCGTTATGTGGACAAAACTGGGAAAGTCATTGAAAGGTTTGTAGGAGTTCAACATGTTCCCGACACCACTTCAAACACATTAAAGGAGTCTATTGATGCCTTCTTTCATTTCAATGAGTTGAGCTTCTCCAATTTACGAGGGCAAGGTTACGATGGTGCTAGTAATATGAAAGGTGAGTTCAATGGACTCAAGACAAAGACTTTGAATGATCAACCTTGTGCATTCTATGTTCATTGCTTTGCTCATCAACTCCAATTAGCTCTTGTTGCCGTAACAAAGAATAATGTTGATGTTAACACATTCTTTCTATTGGCTAATAATGTGGTAAATAATATTGGAGCTTCATGTAAGCGTCGTGATGCACTTAGAGAGATGCAACAAAAAGAACTTATGAAAGCTCTTGAAAATGATTCTCTTATGACGGGACGAGGCTTAAATCAAGAAACTAGTCTCAAACGTGCCGGAGCTACAAGATGGAATTCACATTATGGTACTTTGATTAGTTTGATTATATGTTCTCATCCGTGGTCAATGTGCTTGAAATGATTGTTGATGATAATACCAATGATAGTGTGGCCGAAGCAAATAGGTTATTGAAAGACATACAATCTTTTGAGTTTGTGTTTCTCTTATTTTTGATGAAATCTATATTGGGAATCACGAATGATTTATCACAAGCATTACAAAGGGATGATCAAGAGATTGTGAATGCAATGGCTTTAGTCAACACATGTAAAGAACAACTACTCTACATGAGGAATGATAAGGGGTTTGACCTTTTGGTTGACAAAGTATTGTCATTTTGTGTTCAACATCATATTGAGGTTATTAACATGGATGAGACATATGTAGCTCATGGGAGGTCGCGCCGTAATACCCACAAAAAGACCAACCGTCATCGTTACAAAGTGGAGCTCTTTTTTGTTGTCATTGATTCCCAACTTACAGAGTTAAATAATCGCTTCAATGAAACAAGTACCGAATTGCTCATTTGTTTGGCTAGTTTGAGTCCAAATGATTCTTTTGCAGCTTTTGACAAAGAAAAGCTACTTCACCTTGCTCAATTGTACCCTCAAGATTTTACAAAGCAAGACCTATTGGCACTTGAAGATCAACTCGATATTTATATTCATTCTATGCGTTCAAGAAGTGACTTTTCTTAGTTGCAAAGCATTAGTGATCTTGCTAAGAAAATGGTGGAAAAAAGGTTGCATCGAGTATTTCAATATGTGTATTCACTTATTGAATTGGCTTTGGTTTTACCTGTTGCAACTGCTTCAGTGGAGAGAACATTTTCTGCCATGAATATCATTAAGAGTCCATTCCGCAACAGAATGGGGGATCAATGGTTAAATGATAGCTTAGTTGTTTATATTGAGAAAGATGTTTTTTCTTGTATTGACAATGAAACTATCATGACACGTTTTCAAAGTATGAGATCCCGTCGTGGACAAATTTAGTATTTCTAGCTTGTTTAGCACAAAGATTATGAATGAAATTTGTAATTTGCCATTTATTTGTTCAATGATATTTTCGTCTTGGTTTTTTTTTTTTTGGAACTTTTATATTAAGACCACCCTAAGTTAAAATCCTGGAACTGCCACTGGTTCTAATGCTCCAAAAGTTTAAGAGACTCTCGATTTTCTATTAACCCTAAAAGTGTTTAAATAGTCTATATGTGAAAGGTAAATAAAATGAGAAATTACAAAATTTCCAAAACTATCCATAGAACTTAAAATTCATCTTGACCTACTAAATGTCGATAAAATGCCAAAAATCTTTAGTCGTGGCAAAAGCGCCATTCAGGATCACCTCATCATTTATTTTTGTTTTCGAGCCAAATCTGGAGAGATTTTTCATGTACACGAGGTAGTACATCACTTGTCACTAAACAAATTGTGAGATATATGTGCTAAAAAGTTAGTAACTTAAAAAATAAAATTTCTTTCCATTCATATTAAAACATGTGTTGTATTCATATTACAACTAAAAATTTCTCCTAAATCTGACACCAAAAAGTATTTTCCGGAAAGGTATTCACCGTGAAAACACTATTTATGCGAGAAGTTGCTTTCGACCCTTCATCCCTATATTAGTGGGATAGAGTGCCCTACGCACGTTTGAAATAGACATCCCACATTCATACACAATACTATGTGCTGGTTAAACCAATTACAAGCGGTTTGTTCATTGTGATTCCTAAGGACTTCCTCCTAATTTTTCTAGTAAACGATATTATTTACGCTAATGAACGGAGGAATGTGCTAAGCTTCACACTGAGCTAGCTATAATTATGTGGTTCAAATTCATGTTTGGCGAGAATCAAACCTAAGATATTTCATTTACAAGTAAAGAAAAACATCACTAGACCGTAGTACTAAGTGACGATTTTCTCCTAATTAAATTGCCACTTTTTTGAAATGGACAGAGACAAAACAATGTTTACAAACTAGATGATCAGATATCAGTCTGCAGGATCACTCTCAGTCCCAGAACAAATTTCTGAAGTCATACTTTCTCCAATCACGCCTCACGATTGCCACTATTGCCATGCAGATTAACATTTTTTTGCATCAGATTCTCACAAGCAATAATATTATTTCTATAACTTGCAATGCATATATGATATATAAGGAATATAGTTAATGACGTAGTAAACATTTGACATGTAAAATATTTTTGTGACGTGTTTACTAGATGGAAATTAAAATAAGAAGTTGATATTCATGTGTTTACTGCTCATTAAGGAAACTAAAATAGGGTCCACACGAAATAAGAAACATTATTTCTCAAGTTGGAGGTATTGGATTCTGACGAGGAGTTGGTATTCCAATTATGGGAGGGGTAGGTGAATCTGTTCTGGTAAGAAGGCAACCGCTGAGATGTAGAGGATGGTGCAGTGAACATGGAGGGTGAGTTCTGGTGGTGAATTGGTCAGAAAGTATGATAAAGTCCAGGAATGTAAATCAGAGCCAAAAATCCATAAATCAATGAAAACCTTGAGAAATAGGAATGTCCATACTCCAGTGTTGCATCTAGCTCCAACACGAACTTTGTAGACAAAGGTTTCAGGGCGGATCGAGAGGTTGGCGACACTCTAGAAAGGAGGTTAGGGTTTTTCTTTTATCTGTACTAGTAGTGGAGTGGCTTGCTACTTTCAATAAGAAAAGGAAAATTGAGCAAGACCGTAATTTCTATCCGGTTACAATCATATCCGGTTACAATCATCATTCATTCGTTGAACCTTGGTGCGGAAAAAAAAGGGCCGCGGTCGAAACTCTAATTTTGTAAAAAAGTCGAGGCCGTCCAGACCCCGGGGGGAGGAGCTGTAGAGAAGGCAACTGTCCTTGCCTGAATGGCTGGGAGGCTGACCCCTATCCAAGCTGTGACATCCTCTGTGCCAATCTACACTATACAAACCATTGGGAGAAGGTACGATATTAGAGAAAGAGTGTGTAGTATGTTCGTTACGTACATACATACTCTCTTTTCACTTCCACTTGTTATTTGAGGATAATGTACTGTTATTACACCTTGAAATTTCTCTAACAAACGCTACTTTTGTTGATATCCGCTTCGATAATTTGGGTAATGTGGTAAACTTGTCACATATGTGGTGGCCAATTTCTCACACTTGTGGTGGCAAATCATTGTGTACACTTTGCTGTGGCAAATCATTATGTTTAGTGATATAATGATTAAAACCAAACACGAGATCTCATGCACGATGTCAATTTGTGGTGGGAGTTAGAAATCTGTTTTATGGTGGCAAATGACTCCTATTCACAACTAGTGTAGTACTTATCATAATCCTCCTCCAAAACCTTGACAAATCATCATCCATCCACTCAAAGATCCTAAATCATCTAGACGCCTCTCTAGTGATATTTTTGGAGTGTGGGACTCGATGTTCAACAATTTCGGCCATTATGGGTATTATCGTCAAACACTTGGACCTCCTTATCCTTCACGGCAGGCATTTGTGGAAAATGCAACACAAAAAACCAATCTTTTGACATTGTACGTATTTTGCATTATACTAGTTACCTTGTTTCTTTTTCGAGAACGACCATTTGACACAGTCAAACTCATCTACAGCAACAACAACGGGGAAGCATTTTGATCACACGTATTCAGCATGGGTTTTAAAGACATTGATCTAGAAGCTCTTCAAAACCTTGGATGAGATATGTTGTGATCAATTAGAATGAACTTGAGTTCAGTCCGATTGTTTGTTGTGCCAAAATGTAAGATGAATATGAATGAACAAGATAAGTTATAAATCCACTATAAAGTGAGTATAAGTTGAGCTTCCTTGTATCCCAGAAATCAATAATTTGCATTAAACCATTCACACACCCGTTTCATACAAAGTGCGATAAATGTTAAAGAACATGTTACTCGGGGTTGCATGATTGCTCAAATTTGTTTATTATAACTTCATTGCTCCCCTTAACACTCTCTACTTTCTTCAATATCTAAGGATATTTCATCTCTTCCATCGCCTATTCGTCTTTCGACGTAACAAAATACATCGAATATATATGCTTACAAGCATATCATCCATGTAAACCTTAGCGATCTTATTTTGTATGCTAGACAAACATGGGAAGACTAGTTTTTGGTAGGTTGGTATGTGTTTTTTGATGATGCATTCTCATGTGGCAGTATAAATCAACCAAACGCGTTATCCATATGATCCTACCAAACTAAAAATATGCACATGCCAAATGCATATGCATTTTTGTTTGATTGTTTTTCAAAGGAAAAAAGCATATGGAATAGGGATGTGATATCTACACACCCCAATTTACTTTTTACATACCTTTTTAATTTTTGATCGTCAGATCGAATGAATTAAAGAAGATCAATGAATAAAAATTATTAAAAAATGTGTCAGAAGTAAAATGAGATTCTATGGAATAATACAGTGGAAGATGAAGCTGTTGGAACACAAGACTGATACCCCCACCTCACCACCTTCATCAAATCAAACAATTTTTTAATTAAAAAATTTATAAAAAAATATGAGTGTGTTAATATGCTGTCCACACACAACCTCTGTGTCAGTCAAACCCTTTATAATTTGGCAACATGTCCCATATCAGTAATTTCCCATTCTCTTCAAGGGGATTTCTGTCATAAAACGTTTCTTATGGTTGCAGAAACACCAAGAGGCAGAAGGCATTGAAGAACCCAACCTGTATTTTATGTTTTAGGAGTTGCAGATAGCTGCAAATTCAGAAATTCAACATAGCTGAGTTAAGAAGAAGCAGAGTCCATTAAATTTCACGCAATTTTATTTATCAAATCAGTTAATTATACAGGAGAGGCAGAGCAATTAATCCAACCACCATTGAAGAAGAAGCTCTCAGAGAGGTAAAGATTTTGCATTTATTGAAGCAGATGGCTTCCCAACTGCCATATTTAAGTTTCAAGCTTTCTTCTTCTTTAATAAAACCCAGAATCCCAAAATTTCAATTTCTTTTATTCAACTTGTCACTCCAATTGATGTTTGAATTTGCAGAAAGTCGATGACTGATGAAAACCCAGTTTAATCTGAACTCAATTTGATATGATTTTCCACATTCTCCACCGAAAGTCTCTGACTTTGATCACTGTCGTCACCGTCCTTATCCTTTCAACCTCCACAGCCGCCATAGCCAAAGCTCAAAACTCAAGCTCCTGCATACACACATGCGGATCGGGAAAATCCGCCAAAACGGTTCGCTACCCATTTGGATTCTCACCCAGCTGCCAAATCCGATTGAACTGTTCTGAAAATAACGAGATCAGACTCGGCAAATTCAGAGTCCTAAACGTGACCCCAAACGCCGTCTTCGTGAACCTCCCTGCAATATGCAACCGTCGGTTCGAATCCGTGATCGAACTCTTCGGCCCGAACTTCGGCCCGACTTGGAACAACAGCCTCCTCCTCCAGAATTGCTCGGCGCCGCAAAACGGCTGCCTCATTCCCGCCGATTTCGTTCAGAAGCAGTTCAATTTAGAGAGCTGCAGGTCCAGCGCCGATAACATCAGCTGCCTGTCTCAGCCGCACAACCAGTCAGAAGTTATGCGATTCGAGGACTTGAGTCGGACCGGGTGCAAGAACTTGTTCGGGTCGATTTCGGTTCAGTCGGATGGGGAGTCGCCGCTCTCGCTGGAGTTCGAAACGGTGGAGTTGGGATGGTGGGTCGGGGGACTCTGCGACTGCGATCCGAATGCCACGTGTACTCGGGTAAAGCTCGGCGAGAGGACGGACGGGTACCAATGCAGATGCGTTGATGGGTTCGACGGCGACGGCTTCAATCATGGGTCGGGCTGCCGGAGAGGTTAGTCAACGCGCTATTTTTAGTCTTTGTAAACTTTTAGTCATGGTCTTTGACGAGCAGTGGAAAAGTAGACAATTCCGTTTCGGTGGGGATTTTGGACTTGGCCAATGATGTGCTGCCACGTCACTATTTATGTTTTTCCATGGATTTGTTTAGCGAGATAACCAAAAGGTGCATTAATTAGGGAAAAATGGGGTTAAATTAAATAAAATTGGCTTACATTACTAAATTAGGGTCTAATTTGCAATTAATTTTGGTAATGTGTAGAGACGGAAAGTCAATTAGTTTGATTTTGTTACACTCAATTATTCATAAGAGGACTTTGCAGGCAGCCACACTGGATTTGAATTGGTCGTAGCAATGTCGATAGGCCGAAAAGCTGGAGGCTTAAATTGTTTATGAATTTATCTGAGTATTTTGAGCATAATTTGAGCATTGTTGAAATGAATCTGCAGTATTCTAATGTGTTCGTATTGTTTTGAGTCGATGGTCGCTATCCCAACGAAGGAATTCACCGAAAGTCAAAGCCTTTGTGCAATTTTCCCTGTTTGTTTATAGAGGATATTAGGTGAAGCACATGCCTTTACTAGGTATATTTAGGACCTTGGATCAATACAGGTTAGGTTGGGGAGGGGGAGAGAAGACTTGTAAAGTTACAGCACAAGTTTTTCCGGTGCAACTGTTCGTGTAGTAAACTTTGCTATCCGATTGTTGTGGACCTGATAAGTTATAACATTAACTAACGTAAACCTTGATAGCACAAGTTGGTTAATTAGGCTGACAGTCTCTCAAACTTACAAGTTCTACTGAATTCCTATTTCGCATCTTAATTCCTCACGGGGGATGTAGCAAACTTGGATTTGTACCGAGTTCTTGTTGAATAAATAAAAGCTTGCAATGACCTGTACAAACTTTTATAGTTGGAATATACCATACATAGGAAGTGAGAACTCGCAGGTGATTTACTCTGTGATCTCGAGCCTTGAATTCTGCTTGCAGTCCATTTTTATCTATGTGAATTGAAATGCATCTGTAACTTTTACCAATTGCCTGACCTATTAATATTCTGAAACTGAAATGTACATAGCATCACAATCTCAAGCTGGCTCGTTTTGTTCTAATTGTTTTTATACTGGTTGCCGTGTCTCTAGTGTCCAAGTGCAATCCTTCAAAGTACATGTCTGGTCGCTGTGGGGGAACAACAAGAGTTGGTGTTCTTATTGGAGGTAAATTTTCTACTTTTTACACTTGTTTCAAAATTTATCATATGCTCAGCCATGTTACTTTTTTTTTTCCCCGCTTCAGTTGTTTTCGCTTCTTCTTTCTCCACATCTCATTTTTAGACATGGTAACTCCTAAAAACATAAGAGCGTGAACTGTAATTCCACTGGTGATGCAATGCCGTATGGCCTTGTTGCTTAGCTGATATATTGATCAAATATGACTGGGACCTTATAAAATTTCATATATTTGGTTATCTTGTGTTTTCTCTAAATACTTGCGTGGCATTGGTTTTTGTCTTAGGGGTTATTGCTGGAGCTTTCATAATGGCCGGTCTATTTTTTATCTGTCACTTTGTTCGACGTCGCTCAACTTGCTTGAGAAACCAAATGAGTGCAAGGCGCCTTCTAAGCGAAGCAGCAGGCAACTCTAGTGTTCCATTATATCCCTATAAAGAAATAGAGAGAGCCACTAATTGCTTTGCTGAAAAACAAAGGCTGGGAACGGGGGCTTTTGGTACAGTTTATGCAGGAAAACTCCACAACGATGAGTGGGTTGCCATAAAGAAGATCAACCGTCGAGACACCAATGGCATTGATCAAGTCATGAATGAGATCAAGCTCCTTTCCTCTGTGAGCCACCCGAATCTGGTGCGCCTCCTAGGTTGCTGCATAGAGGGAGGTGAACAGATCCTCGGTCTCGATTCTGTCCAGATAGAGCACTCCCACGATAAGGCTCTAAAAGGTCGGAAACAATTAAGCTTTCAGCATGCAACGCAGAATCTTGCTCAGGATTGCCGAAGCAGCAGCGGGCCCAGATGGACTTTCCGTGGAGTCACATCAAGGCTCAACCATTCATACTCGCGCTCTGAATGCACCCTCGCTAATGCTATAGCTTATTCCTACACTATCGATTCTGAGTATGAAGTGGCTATCCACACATTTATCACAGATGGCATATCTTACGAACATTAATCGCGAACTATATATACTACCTCCTTGCATAGGGAAACAAGATTACTCCAACTCGATTATCGAAATGTCTATCAGGATAGAGGGCTGTTCGATTCTTATATCCTCGAGTGTCTTTATTGCTACGCCGGAAACCGTGTACGATGAGAATACTTGTGCGGAATACGGGATAGAGATCCCTACTAACTGACAAGGCACATCCAAGCGATCCACGGACTACCGGGGCTACCGCGGTGTGGCAGATCATCCCTCGCACCAATGATCCGCACAAAACATCCAATCACCAAGAAACTACGCACCACAAGACCGAAATCATCCCCGACCTAGACGAGTCGGCATGCGTACCAGAGCTGTCCGGAGACTATCATATAAAGAAAGGATTTACCTAAGACTCCAGCAATGAAGGTGGTGATACTTCGCTCGACCTCACGTCTGACTGTCCAACCTCTGGCATAGCACTGAATCGGAAATAGGAGGGAAGGGAAGCACGACGCATACCGCTCTGATTCCCTTTCGTGAAGAGCACAAAAATAGGGCAACGCATCAAGGACTCCTAAACATCCTCCCTGTTAACTCCAAGGAAGAGAATGAGGAATGAAAGCTCTGCATTTCGACTGCCAGTTGCTATTACTACAGCTCATCGACGGCGGCTTCTACCTGAATAGCACCGGTGGCCGCTAAAGAAGGACTTAGAAGTACACGTCGCGTGCAGCGGGTGAATACGCTGGCAACAATGGAAGTAGAAATATCGCCATGGGAATCATCCAGGCGTCGTCTGCATGTTCCATCACCCGTATATCAAAGTGGAAGCTCGAGAATCGTTCCAGGCAGAGGACAATGGCCAGACGGGAGACAGGCCAGGTATTATAAGCGACAGCCAGAGCTATCAAGTAGTATTTACACTCTTGAGTGAATAGATACGTCTGCGTAGGATTCACCATGGAAGGGAGGAAGACAAACGGACCGGTAGCTCCCTCAGATGGTACTGCTCCACTAAGCTCCGTCTGTTGTATGGTAAGACCACCGAGTTCACCCTTCCATGAGCATAACAGCCGGATATAATGCGTCCACCATGTACGCTGTAAAGAGTGACGTCAGTAAGATAAACCTCTCAATGATCACTACGATAACCGACGCAACAGAAGAGAAGCCATCGTGAAATGGACTAACTGAAATTGCCAATACTACAACTGACAGTACCTTATATTTTACAATTTCTAGTAATTCCAACATAACCTCTTATGCGGCAGACTCATACGGCACTACAACTAATTTGCTGCTAACCCAAAGGTGACCTCTCTTTGCTCACCTCTAAGCATCCCCACGTACCGAGAACTGCAGCAACCACAGCACCGATAACATGGGAAACACATAATCGGCCAGAAATGAAACTAAGACACCGGCGCAGAATCAAACGAAGTTAGATGCAACACGTCCATAGTCCAAGTATAACTACACCCGACTGCTTAAATTTGAAGGAGAACATATCTGCACCAGTAGAACCGGTCCTCTTACCCACGTGCGCTGGAAAGGTCCTTGAGGCCCTCAGCGACAGGGACGCGCGTGAGTTTAAAAATATACCAAGGCAGTGGCCCATAACAACCTGAAACATGGTTGAATAATACCGTAAGTTAAGCAATGAAAGCTCTGCATAACCGTATTGTAACAAAAAAAGCCTGCAACCCTTTTACCCTCCACGGCAGTAGAGCCGAATTAAAGGAATGGATTTAATGAGCCTGTATGCAACGAAATGGACAGCCTTGACGTTAACCATCCCATAACTCCTCACGTTGGTGGCTAAAGCCTAACAGCGAATTGGTAAGCACCTAGACATCATCACCACCAAGAAAGAGATTCCATCGTTGACGACAACTACACCAACCACCAAAACAAAAGAAACAAAAACACAAACCACATTATTTGAAATCTCCTCAGAATGTCATTATAATCTCACTAGCTAGCTTCCACATCCTCAACCAGACTGTATCCTTACTGAGTATTTTGGCATACCACATCTTAGCGCGTAATATGTAATGAGATCTCGTGAGAATGTCGCGCTCGAGTGTTCATCAACCCACCTTCCATCACTCTCACGCATACTTATATGAAAATAATTATAACAAGTGTATTAAAAACACAAACATCGCTGATCAACAAAAGTACATTAATCCGCCTATCCCAACATAACGATACTCTCCCCTCACCAGTCCCGCCTATGACCTTCTGCTTAAAACAATACCCAAAAATGCTCTGATCTGACTAGCAATCCCTTAATATCCTATAAAGAAGATATTTTTGAAACGGCAATAACAACCAATATATCACTCAATACAAACCGCCAAACCCATCCATCCTTATTCGTACTCCGAAATCTCACACAAAGAGCAATTATACATCACCCCAGCATCATAATACCATGATTGGATACCAATGCCCACCGACCAACGTCTCCATAATTGTCTGTGTACATCAACTTAGCCATCAGGTGTTTGCACCTGGTTAAAAGATTAGGCCAAGTGCATGCGCGGCCTCCGGAGCAATGAACTCCCCGCGTGCGATGAAGGAGAATAGCCGGGAGATGGAATCATCCCGTGATCGATGAAGTTCCAAACAAGCAAGTCGTTCGTAAAAATAGTAAGAACACAAAAGCAACTTTTGTCAAATAGTGCGCCCAAAAACTCCCGCTACATTACGCCTCTCCGCCTCCTCCGCAATTAAATATGTTAGTGTCAACTTCACCACCCAAGAATAATCAACCTTAGCCGGATCCAAAAAGGACCAGGAGGATTTCATCGTTCTGTTTATTCACCAAGAATTAAAAACTCCCAAAACAACTAAGTCATGCAACTCTCTACAAACACAAATTCTGTCTATCGATCGAAACATTTAAATTCCTACTTGTAAAAATAAAATGGTCGCTGCGACAATGAATATCAACAACAAACAATTGAGAAACGCGGAAAATCTGTGCTATTGGTCACGTGTTTAAACAAAAGATGTCAATATTTTCCTTAACCACATGAGTATAGGTGGTAAAACCTAAAAGCAGTGGAGTGAGGAGCACAAGTGGCGTTTTGAAGAACGAAATTCTAAGACCCCGTACAATAGTCTTCCTAGGTTGGTGAAATTCATGTCCGCTCGGTAAACTCCAACAGTGATGTGACTCACACCGACGAGAGGCTGAAAAGATGCACGAGATGTATGAGTCGGTCTACTCCACAACCCTGTAAAACCTGGCTCATGGACGAACCATGGATCGTGGCAGGCTCCTAGATCCCAAAGCCCAGAAACCACCAGCTGGTCCGAGTTTTTTTCGTTTATTTGTTGTTTAATACCCAATCGGTAAAGAATAATCTACGGTTGGCCTCTCGCCCAATCATCAATGGCCGGACTCCGGCCAGAGAAACTACACGAAAGGATACTCAGCCATTTCACTAGGCAATTGAGCCCTTGGCCAATCCAAGGAGAATCATCTCAGTTACTAACGACCAAATTGCCTCACAGATAACGCATTATGAGACTGCGCGAAAAGGAATGAGTTGCTGGCTATCGCCACTCATGTTTGAGAGGTGAAGATAATTCTATGGCTTATGTGGTAACTCGAATTACCTGTCTGACAATTCAAGAGTTCGGTGATGGACGAACCTACCTACATTTTCTTATGTCCAATGCTCTTCAATTTGGGATTGACATGATCGTGGGTTATCAGACCCCTTTTCCGTTTGCGACCACTGAGAATAGAACCTTACCTCATATTATCTCACTAACTTTCCTTGTTTGGTTTGAATGGTTTTTTTCAAGTAAGAAACTAAATACGAATTTTCAACTTCTCTCCTAATCTTGCATGTTCTTTTAATCTCCACACAACTTCCGCGAAGAATCCCAATGGTACAATTTACATGTTCAGTTTACTCTATGTCATTTTTCTCCTCCCATTGAGCATTCGCAATTTTTTCTCTATAATTGGTCTTCTTCAAATCCTAGATAATTTCTCTCAATGAGAGCATAAAAGCTAATTAATTTCGCTACTGTACACATTTTTTTATGCTCGTTAGGTTGATGAAATTCCAACCTCCCACTCTCACAGTTTATTGGATTCTCATCTGACAATGAATTTGAAACAATAACCAGAGATTAATTCGGACAAACATAATGCAATCAGGAGATTCAGAGCTTATAACCACTATTTTAATTTTATTATAAATATAAAAAAATTTCGAATGTAAAACATTATATGGTAGCATACCCTTTTAACTTAAAATCAATAAAATAATTTGACTATCGTATTATTGTTATCGACAAGTCTGTTTAGCCCAATACACCGATATATCATCTCGGCAACTAAGGGACTTGCCTAAGAAGAAAACCACTGTTTCCCTGATTGTGTGAACTTAGCGCATCCAAGCACCAAAAATCTGCTGGCCTATCACTGAAATGCAAACATCTTGGCAATCTGCATCTGAGGATTTAAGCGAAGCCAATTTTGATGGTAAAGGACACATCCTGTAGTCAATGCTCCCACCATCATAGTTGGAAGACCTGCACCCAGAGTTTCCATACGCTCGTCTATCTCTAACATCCTGTCCGTTACTTGCGACATAGCTCCGCGTTGTGTTTCTTTTTTTTTCCCCGGTAAATACTTCTATCTCATGTTTACTGCTCATTTCTATTTCTCTCACCGATATCCTGCCTTCTGTCGTCATTGAATATAATCGGCACACTCTACCACTTGCTCTCTAACGTGCGCATGCTCCTCCTAGAGGTTTTATAAGGTACTATTTTTTCTAATTTTAATGTTAGCAACCTTATGTATTTAATTAATGTTATGGATTTTTACTCCACTATCAAGTATCCTCTCTTCTCTGAGAACGCAGTCTATGATCTCGAGGAACTTGCCAGGCACTGACAACTCCGCACTGAGATGGTCTATTATCTAGATCAAAACTGTCTTGGTAAACTTTGTATATACGGACCGGTCTCTAGAGATCAATAACCTAGTATGG